TTATTACGATGAATGCTAAGTTAGTACATAACATTTATTCTAAAATAAATTTTAATTAAAAAAAATATAATTTTAGAATTATTTTAGAATATTCTTTAACTATGTAAATGGCTTAACTTGAACTAAAATATACACTTCTAAAATGAGAATATTTGTGTAATTAAGACAAAATAATAGGGTAACTTGCAGAGTCCAAGTCCAACTTACATTATAAATTCCAGAGACTGAAGTAAGACAGTAGATAGGTAATGTGGACTTATATTTGTGTGTGTCCATACACACACACACACCGTCTGTTTATTTGAAGAATGGGAGGAGGACAAAGTCCGAAGGGGAGAGGGGGAGAGAGGGAGAGAGGAAAATTCAGACTGTTGTCATCTTCCATGAACATTCCGAAAATTCACAAAGTCCAGTTAATCCTAATCCCTTTTTCTAAGTAGTGGAGCGCTTATAGATTCGTCTTTCATTCTATCCTTTTTCCTTTCGATCCAAAGCTGTTATATTTTCTCCAAGTCTTTAATTACTATACGTTCACTTTCCTCCTCTTCTCTAAATAAAAAAATATGTTGCTACATTGCTTGGAGAATTACTTGAAATTGCCTTCATCACTACCAAAATAACTAAATAAAATGTGGCGGTTAGGTTGTTACATCCTTCATAATTTGTTGGCGGAAATTTTCAAATTTTCACGTCGAAGTAGTTTAAAACCGCTGCTAATTGAATCTTGGGAATCACATGCGTCACCAACCCTTTGTAATTATTTTCACACATCATATAGGCTTAATAACGCCTATGAGTAGCAGTTTTTGTAACGGCTACAAATTCTCTTTCCATGGTAAATTTGTAGTGATTCTCAAAATCGTGAAAATAACGATCATAAAATGCTGTGTGTGCGCGTGTTCCCCCCCCCCCCTTATAGTGCGTGTTCTTTTGCTGTCACATTGAGGCTCTAATAATTGATCTGGACTAGTATATTTATTTTCTCTACTTGTTGTGTGTTAAGGTTTTTTCTTATCTAAAACCAGCTATTACTTGAGGGTCTTAGGTTTTATACTTTTAAGTCAATCAACGTTTTGGTTTGAAGCGATGAACTGGCACTTCGCATGCTTGGAACTTTTAGATATTAACTTCCATCGCGACAATCTTCAAACTAAAAGCGCTAAAAGTCGTGTGTTTTTCTTTAACCGATTCCAATTATATTTTGTTTCTTTTGACATATATGGAGGTATCCAACACGTAAAATGGATAATCTAATCGACAATTCTGTTAATTTATTATCATCTCTGATCTTTAATATAAAAACTCATTTAACTTTTATTTCAGTCTTAAATATAAGATATCAATCCACTCTATCTCATACATTTATTTTTTTTTTTTTAAGATAGTACTTGTAATAATGGTAGTTCTAGCCAATATACTTTATTGATAAGAATATTTTAGAAAAGACAATACCTATTTATTACAAATAATTAACTAAACTAATTTTCTTAATATATTCAAATTAGTCAACTAGTTTTTATATTAAGAACTAAAGGTAGTATTTTATTTTGGTTCAATACTATTAAATTAACATATTTCAACGGTTCAAATTTTAATTTTTTATAAACTATTTATAAAAAATTTTAAAAATATTTAGTATATTTGTAAACTATTAGAATTAAATTTTAATATAGTTTGTAATTTATTATTTATTTATTTTTACAAATTAATATTTTAATAATAGTTTTCAAATGGTTTAAATCTCAACCGTTGAAATATTAATCCAAAGGTTAGAAAAAAGAAGAGGAGGGAAGAAGAGGAGGAGGGAAGAGGAGAGGTTTCGAACCATATTTATATATATATATATATATATATATTTAAGGATAATACTTACATTAAGTTATTTATATCTATTATATCAAATTCTCTAATAATACATAACCATGTATCTTATTTTTAAAATATTAGCATTTAAATATGAAACAAAAAGGACACTTGCTCATGTGCAATTGAAGATCTTGACATAATGGATATAAGTAACTTGACTTGAGTTTTTATGTATTTGAAATTTTGATTTATATTTTTTTAAATAATTACAACTTTTAATTTTCCCTTTCATATAATTTGTATAGAGAGAGAGAATTTGAGGAAAATTTGGCATATATTTATTACGGAAGATCATAAAAGTTACAATTATGTTGATGAAATAATTGCAGAAAAATAAAAAGAAGAAGAAGAAGAAGGCCTGAAAGATATTAAATTGATTATCATACCTTCATTGCAAGAAATAAAAATAAAAATAAGAATGTCATAAATATTGATGGGGGGATATGTTCATAACTTCATAAGCTTTTAATATTCAATCCTAGTGTTCGTAACTTTCAAATGGATGGTTTTCTTATATTATTGGCTAAAGTATACATTTGGTTCTTTAACTTTATACAAGGTTTCAATTTAGTCCCATAACTTTAAAAAGTATACTTTTAGTCCTTTAACCCTAAATTTTTTTCAAAAATGATGACATTAAGATCTGAAATGTTGATAAAATATTTTCAAATACTAACATATTAAGTTTAATTTTCAAAACATCCATGATTATTACAAAAAATCATCATTGAAGCCTAGATTTTAAGGTTAAAGGACCAAATGTATGCTTTTTAAAGTTAACGGATCAAATTGAAACCTTGTACAAAGTTAAAGGACCAAATGTATACTTTAGCCTATATTCTTTGTTATAACTTCCGATAGTTTCATGTTGTAACATAATATGGATTAATTCCTCTATTAATGAAATGATAACTCTTAGGGGGTTGAAAACATATAAGTAGAGGCTTCACTACAAAAAAAAATGACTTCCAGCAATGACTTGTAGCGGCAACACAAATTGCCATTATTGAAAGTGTGATTTTCAGTGGCGGCTCCTAATGTTGTTGCTAAAAAGGACTTTTAGTGACAACAGTTATTGTTACCACAGAAAGAAGCTTTTAGCGGTGACTCAACATGTTGCCACTAAAAAGTCTATTTCAATATTTTATTACGATGATATATATTTGATTTTACCACAATTATCACCAAATATATTCTAATTTAATGGCAAAAAGAAGGGATGTAGAAGGAGGGGCCTAGGAATTCGAACCATAGAAGGGCCATATTTATGGTGATAATATCTAGTTAGTGACATGGTGCGTCGAGATGTGGACATGGGGTATAGGTGAGGGGGTGGATGATGTGGCAACGGTCGATGGCTAGTTGGTGATAATGTGGCGGTGGGCGATAGCGACTCTATTTGTCTCCATTGATAAGTTTCAATGACAGTCGCTACGTACAACAACGACGTGGCTTGCTGTCTTTCAACAGCAACTTTTTGACTTTCAGCAACGACTTTTGTCACCACTGAAAGTCAATTTTTTTTAGTGCTTTATGCAGAGTGGATGTACGTGTTTGTTTGGTTAAGTAGTGGAAGTTCAAATAAGCCCGTTTGAACTCAAATAAGTGATTATAGAGTCCTTTTATCCTGTTTTGTTAACTTTTTTAAAACCCTGATAAAACGTGATTGTAGTTCCAATCACATGTTTGAGCATAAGCTGCATGAAAATTTATATGAATGCTTATCTTTACACTTGTCTCATACTTCAATTATGTTGTTCTTATTTTCCTTCAATATTTATATAACAAAGACGAAATAATAGCATCCGCATGTCTTATTAATGCCTTCTAATTATATTTTAACTACTAATCAATATGAATGCAAAAAATATACTAATGAATTTGAATGCATTTGGTGGGAAAAAAAATGAAGGCAAACAAGTCGTATAACCTTCGCCTCTAGAAGAAAAAATTTAAAAATAAATAAATAAAGATGACATTTTATTATAGGGAGCTATAATTGGCGCAAGTGATTATTTGTCCTGCAAAATTTATTATTTTCTTTCATAATAAATTGGTCTTTTAGTATAGTTTGTTCATGTCTTAAACATGTTTTAAGCTCCATGACAGTTTAATGATTGGAACATTTTTATAATTTTTCTGAGGGCTAAGATATTTTTAATATTTTCAAATTAATTTCTCAAACAATTGTGTGTCGACCATAGAGACGGATAGAGAGTTACGGTCATTTATGTCAATTTAAGCAGTTTATTAATAAAATAATAAAATGTTTAAAAAATTCTGAGAGAAAGATACTTAAATACTTTTGAATTAGTCAAAATCTAAATTAGTTCCTCACAATCACAAAATGCCAAATACCTTCCAAAAATCTTTGTATGAATATAATCCTTACAAAATGAAACAAACTTTAAGAACTTTTTTTTTGGGGGGGACCCTAACCTTCCATTAGCTTTTCCAGGAAAAAGAAAAAAAAATGAAAGGAAAGAAATAATAGTTATTATGAAAGGCAAGTCTTAAATAAAAAGAGGAACCTTAGCAAAATTCAAAATTTGAGTGAAAATTTATCCACTAAAGAAGTATTTTATTCTAAAAGGGATTACACCTTTTGGTAAATATCAGACTGTTGACGCCAAAATTAAAGCTCGCGGGTCTTCGTCAAAGTCTATCCATATTCACTTCTGTGAGACTTAGATTGATTGCGATGGATGTGAGCTGTGAGGTCAATCAACCAATCCAAAGCTCGTCTTCGTCAACCTCTGTATTTATCCATTTGTACTAATTTTGAAAGTTCAATAATGTACATACAGCATCAAAGCATCATCCAGAATTCGGAACTATCCAATCCCATTCCAAAATTTCTGTAAACATTATCGTCAAAATAAGGATCTTTAATTAATAATATTTCACATTATCAAGCCAAAAACGTCTTCATCATCCTCTCTCCTTGTCCATGCTCAATCGATTTCCACATATATATGTGAATTTAATTGCTTGATTAGGATGTACAACGTGACCTATAGAGACCTCGCTTGTAGACTACAAATGAAATCTTATAATTAAGACCGGAGGTAGTATAATGTGATCGTTCTAAATTACATTTTAACTTCCATTATATATTCATATTCTGTATCTTCAAGCTTCCCAAGAAATCATATACATATAGTTGCATTCCAATCCTTGTAAACAGAATCGTGTCAAAATAAGGTGATCATATGAGAGAGAAGTCAATGGAGCTGAAGTTACTGATCTTGTTCCTTCTTTTAGTTGCAGCCATGGAAGCTGCAATATCAGAAGCTAAATCCCTTAAAGGCTGCCTCAAGAAATGTGGGGAAGTAGAGATTCCATATCCATTTGGTGTGGGGGACAACTGCTCCTTGGAGAAGCCATTTAATCTCACCTGTGACACTTCTACATCCACATTATTCTACGGAAAAAACCCAGTTTCAAGCATATCTGTCCAACATGGTCTTATGGACGTTTTGTTTGAAGTCTCCAAGATTTGTGGTAATCAATCAGAAGAAAAACATCCTCGTCTTCTTGACGCTGGCCATTATTTCACCATTTCCACCTCGGAGAACATGTTCGTAAGTGTTGGTTGTAACATTCTAGGTAGGATTTGTAGTCATCATGAAGGCCAATCTACTAATTTTGGAGGCTGCTTAGCAATCTGTGATCAACTGCCAAAAAATAATAATACTTGTGCTGGGACTGGGTGTTGCCATGGGGAAATTCCTCCTCAAGGAAAGCCTTCAACATATGATTTTCAGGCAACTCGCGCCTTCTCCAATTATAAGGTATCAAATGGAAATAATTGTAGCTATGCCTTTGTAGCTAAAAATGGTTGGTTCAGTTTCTCCCCTCATCATTTACTGAACTTTCCTTTTGAGGTGACCCCAGTTGTGCTAGATTGGACTGTTTCAAATGTTAGCTGCCAAAATGGTTCCAGTCCATACTGTGCCTGCAAAAACAACACATACCATGTGGACTATTACTCCAACGCTGGTCATCGGTACAAATGCAAATGCAAACCTGGTTTTGAGGGAAATCCATACTATTTGGATGGATGTCAAGGTAATTATAGTCTGCTTACCAAAAAATTTTTGATTTTTTCCTTTTACTGCATATGGGTTTTAGTCTCCTTACCTTCTCTAGCAATAGAGATTTGGGTGTCAAGGTAATAATTCAACAGTCAGCGCCTAGTTGTATCCCTATAAAATTAGTGAGGGAATAACCATCCATCGCTATGTTTTAGCATTGCAATATTTAGTAATAATAAAATTTTATCCTGATTTCAATTTAGCAAGGGATTTGTGCCACACACCTTTTTCAAGTATAGTGATTTATTACCTTGACAGTCCAGATGTAATATAAACTGTTTTTATCAAATAGGACAACTCAAAATTGATGAGTCTCATAGTGCTAATCACTATTGTGAGCACCAAAACTGGTTAACCTTACTCTGTAGCAATAGATTTGGGTGTCAATCTAATTAAATAGTCAGCATCTTGTTACATCCATTCCTAATTATAGTGGGAGAATAACCATCTGTCGCTAAATTTAATTAGTATTCCGATCTCATTCAGTTTATAGCAAGGGATTTGCTCCTCAGTAATTCACTTTCTTTTTTAGTAGTGATTTGTTTTTGACACAGCGGTGCCACGTAGCGATGGACAACCTTTATCAAAATATATAAATAGCATTTATAATGATGGTTATTTCTTAATTTCAGATGTTGATGAGTGCACAAGACCCAATAACTGCAGTATGCCAAAGCGATGCCACAATTTGGAAGGTGGCTACCATTGTTCTTGTCCACCTGCACATAAAGGTGATGGCAAAGCTAACGGATCAGGCTGCACTCTCGACTATGGGTTCATAGCATTATGTAAGAATGCGATAGACTCTCTATTTTATTCTCTCTTTTTAATAGCTCTTTTTTGTTAGTTTTAAAAATGTTACTCTCTTAAAAGAAGGATAATTTTTCATTCCTCAATAAAGGAAATGATTTTTACTAGGCATCTTTATCTTCATGATTACCTACTATCTTATGAAAGGATTCTAAATGTTTTTTCATGCATAAATTTGTAGTAAAAGTCTTAATACAACCTTCTTTTTGAAAATAAATTTATCTATTTGAGATCTTTTCATATTAGTAAATATGCATCTTTTGCTCCCATATTCAAACCACAACTTATCTATTGATATATATATGATGACCATGATGTTCTTGATCTTTTGATTTGATTTTGAGGAGAAACAAAATAGAAAGATAGAAGCATCTTTACGTAAATTTAAGACAAAATTCAAATAATTTTATTTTGAAGTTTGGTCATGGCCCACATAATGTTTGCAGCTTGTAGTGCTTCTTTGCTTATTGTTTTCATACTAGTCTACACATCATGTTGGACATACAAGCAAAGAACTTTGAAACAAGTCAGAAGAAGAAACTTTGAGCAAAATGGAGGAAACATGTTGCAACAACAAATTTCACAACAGCAGGCATATAGTGGCAAAACCAAGTTATTTACTGAAGCTGAGCTTAAAAATGCCACAAACAACTTTCATAAAGATACAATTCTTGGTCATGGAGGACAAGGCATAGTTTACAAGGGGATATTATCAGACAAAACACCTATTGCCATTAAGAAACCTAGACAAGGAGGAGACCCTCAACAAATTAAAGATTTTATCAATGAAGTGTGTGTGCTTTCCCAAATCAACCACAGGAATGTGGTCAAACTATTGGGATGTTGTCTTGAAACTGAAGTTCCTTTATTAGTTTACGAGTTTGTGAACAATGGTACCCTTCTAGACCATATAGACCCATTAAAGAATGATGGCTCTATTATGTGGGAGACTCGGTTAAGAATCGCTGCGGAAATTGCTGGGGCAATTGCATATTTGCACTCTTATGCTTCTATTCCAATCATTCACCGAGATATCAAATCTGCCAACATACTTTTGGATCATAATCTTAGGGCAAAGGTGTCTGATTTTGGATCATCAAGACTTATTCCACTTGATGCAACACATGTTACTACTATCGTACAAGGGACTCTTGGATACTTGGATCCAGAATACCTTCACATTGGAGAGTTGAATGAGAAAAGTGATGTTTATAGTTTTGGAGTTGTGCTTGTGGAACTACTCACAGGAAGAAAAGCAATTAAATTTAGTAGGCCTGAACAAAGAAATTTGGCAATGTACTTTGTGTCTTCAATGAAAGAAAATCACTTGTGGGAAATTCTTGATAAGAGGGTGTTAGAACAAAAGAATGCAAAACAACTAAAAGAAGTAGCTTCACTGGCAAGGAGATGTTTAAGAGTTAAAGGAGAGGAAAGGCCTACTATGAGGGAAGTGGCAATGGACTTAGAGGGTCTAATTTCCATGGGAAAGCATACCTGGGGTAAGGACAAGGGTATAGTGGCAGAAGAAAGTGAATATTTACTTGGTCATGTTCCTGAAGGATATGACGATGCTAGTTCTAGCATCATTGTTTCAGTTACTAGTTATGATGGCATACAAAGCCAATCGTCACCTGAAATTATAGGCGGACGATGATCTTTTAGTATTCATATATGTCTTTTATAATTCTATGTATAAATACTCTTTTTCAATAGTCATATGTAAATTTTCTCAAAAAGATGCAACTATAAAGACCTTCTTCCATTTTCTATATTCTTGGAACTTACCTCCTTACTCTTGTAAACTATACAAGTTGGTCGAAAATAGATAAACAATACAATAATTCCATTCACAAAGTATTATTACTAGGCCGATAAATATTGGATTTGTTTGGATATTCATCACAGTATTAACAATAAATAATTCAAGTGTATATATATAGAGGCTTAGTGTAATATGTTGGGGAAAAAAAACAAACAGAAAGAAGCATAATATAATAGCTAATAAAACTAATAGGTAATGGAGCCTACCAAAAAAGAGGGTGAATAATGAGAGGTCTCACATGTTGAACCATTTTAAGGAGTAGGAGAGTGATTTTAGTTTTCATTATACAAAAGGAAAGGTGGGGTATGGGTTAAATAGAGTGAAAACAATGTCTTAGAGCTATCATTATAGCCATTAGAGGTTGAAGATGGATAGTTATCATTTGCGTCGCTTTGAAGTATGCAATTAAGTCAACCAATCTTAACTAAATCAAAGTATGCAAAATATGCCCTAGATTCACTGCTACTACTACAAAAAAAATCATTTTCATCTGTTCGGGAGACCTTTATTCGTCTGTTTCATGGGGCACGTTGATAGAAGAGACATAGATGGGATTAATATATTTGTCTACTTATAACAGACAAGTATGAGCTTCTCATACTCATCTGTTCCCAAGTGAATAGACGAGTATATAAATTTTTTTTAAAAACAATAAAATTCATAATTGAGATAAACCATAGTCTTCCTTTGAACCCTGCACATGAAACTGAACCAAAACAGAGTACAACAGCAGCAGCAATTCAACAAAGGTAGTTTTCATACAAATGGTATCCTAATGACATCCTAAACATCCTATACTTATGAAAATAACATCCTAATTAACTTAGTGAAGCAAAAAATAGCTGAAGTCCCTAAACTATGCCTTTCAACCTCATGTGTCATTTTAAGAGAAATATTCTTGAAGAAATTGTCCTGCCAAACAATCTCGAACAGCATCAATGTCTTTATCAGTGTAAGAGTTTTGATCATCAAAAATTTGTAAGTTTATGAATAAAAAAATTTAATTAAAAGAAAGAAAGAAATCAAATTGAAAAAAAAATGAAATAATTATAATCAAAGTGATTATTACCATCTCAAGATCTTTAGTACATTCTGACTCAACAATTTCATACATGAAACGGATAATGTATTATCCGCACTCTAAACTTCCTGGTTGCAGATGACACTGTAAATGAAAAGTGAATCACAAGGATAAATATACATATATATGAAGTAATTGTCAATGAAATTGGAGAACTTTAATTGAAATACTTACTAATGGTTTGTGCCAAGTCGTCTTGCCAATTTTACCGTCGTGCTTCCCACCCCGTATATAATATGTCTTCAAAGATCTTTGTCCAAAAGAAAATGATAAGACATTAGAATAATTTAATGAAGTAAAAAAAACCATATATAAGATGAGAAAAACTTACGTATTGAAGATATATTTAATATCGTCACTTAGGCAACGTCCCAATGAATCAAACCAGTAAATGACATTGTTTGTAGGGCAAGCAATGCATGATGACCAGTGTTTGCTGAAATATTAAAAAGAAATAAAACCAGTGAATTCATGAGAAATTATATATATAAATGTATAAAAATATATATAGATATAAACTACTTACTTTTCAGTAATTGGGGCAAAATAACAAGGTAATTGGGTACCTCCAATTGTGTTATGAATGTATCTCATCCGCCTATCAATGGGGTTCTTCACAGGTTGCAAAGCAGCTGGACACATGAATCCATATAAGTCTCTCTTTCCGGTAGAAGCGCATAAGTTGTGGAAGTAACTATAATCAAGTTAAAATGAGTCAAAAATTAGTTCATATGTATAAGTTAAAAATGAGTACACAAAAAAATCATAAAATAAAATCACATTATTTCTAATTGAATCCATATAATGTCCAGGTCATCCATAGATAAGAAGTCCTTAATGTCATTTCGGTTTAGTCCAAAATGATACGTCCTTTCCACCTTAACAATCCCCAGAGTCATTGTCATGTTAACCATGTCAATTGACCCGTAAATGTCATATAATTGTGCCAGGTAAGAAAATTGAGTGGCCCCTTCATTATTCTAATGAAAATTGAATAAAGATAATGTTAGAATCAATCTCACCCAAGAGGGGGGTGAATTGGGTGAGTTACAAAAAATTTCAAAATTAAAACGAGACAGTATTGAAAACAGAGAGTCAGAGTCAGGAGAGATTTCACCGCAGAGGGAAGACACAAGATTTATACTGGTTCGGTCTTAACCACTTGACCTACGTCCAGTCCTCAGAACACCTCTGAGTATTTCACTATCTTCCAAGATCGACAGGGCTCTTAGTGCCTCGGTACAGTAATTGAATCGCTCAATCACTCCCCCTTACTCCCGTAAGGATACAAGCCCTCTCAAGAGTCCACACTCTTGAGTATCACTCAATAGTAATTAATGAAGAGTAGTTATCGACTCTCTTACAGAGTGAAATTAATGATGAACACTGACGCTCAATAGTATTGAGAAAACAGAGTATTGAATGCTAGACTTAATAAACACAGATGGTAGTTCCGGTATTCAATTTTTCTTCATTAATGCTTCTTCGCGCCTTTTATAGTTGAGATCGTTAAGTAGCCGTTAGACGGAAGAACTTCTAGCCATTGTGACTCTGTTTGCGTGTTTTGCTGGTTTCAACGGTTCTGCCATTAATGCGTCTGAGCTTCTGACACTGTAGGTTGCAGTCTACGTAATCCTGTTGAAGAGCTGTTGTATTCTTTCTCAGTAATCTGCATATTAAACTTTAAACAAGTAAGAGTCTTGCGATGTAGGCTTTAGTCATGAACTAAGAAGAGAAAACGAATTTATCATTCAATGATTTTGGACGAAATGATTTATCTGTAAAAAGAGCAGAGAGACATTCTGGATATGCTTGATCGAAGTGGTGATCGATTACTTGTTGATCGATCAGGTTATCGATAAACAGAGTGAAAGCTTTTTGAATTAGTTCAACAATATTATCGATCAAGTGTTGGATCATTGATTTTAAGAATTATCATAGTAAACGGAAATCATTCCATGATCGAACAAGTGATCGAACACTTGTTGATTGAACAGATTATCGATAATTCAAGTGTTACAGAAATGAAACTTCAGTCATTGATAATCGAACAAATTATCGATAAATGGATGATGGATAAGGTTATCGATAAACCATGAGTAAGAATATATTTAGCGAAAAACACAGACTATCTGGAATGATCGAACAGGTGATCGACCAATAAATATTCGATCAAGTGATCGATAAAGTGAAAAAAGGAAATTTAATCCTGTAAGGTAAAGAAACTGATTATCGATCACGTTTTGTGAAAACATGAGTTTCAGGAAATCGGATGATCGATCATATTATCGATAAGTCAATGATCGATTAGGTGATCGAAAAAATGGTTTAACATAAGTTAATGCAAAGATAGCAATCCGGAGACTCTTTATCGATCATGTTATGTGAAAAGATATTATGCAGACAAGTTAAATTATCGATAATATTATCGATAATTAGGTTGCAGAAAAACTAAATATGAGCAGATAAAACATTGATTATCGATCATGTGATCGATAACTTTCTGATCGATAAGGTTATCAATTTAGCAGTTATGATGGCTACCTGCATTCAGAGAGTTAGAGCATAATGTTCGATCATGTGATCGATAAACAAATGATCGAAAATATGATGGATAAATGATAAAAAAATTAATGTGCAGAACGAGTAGAGTGTGTTACCTCTTATCGAAGTCGTTATTGATAACTGATTTATCGATCATGTGATCGATAAATGCACTTCAGATTTGGTTCTCTTTATCTGTTACTTGTTTGTTTATCTGATGTTATCGATCAAGTGATCGATAATTAACTGTAACCTTACGTGATTTCCATGTTAGCGATAATCGATCATTTTATCGATCAACAACTTATAGGATAGCTCTTCGATCAAAATACCTACTATAAAACTGATTTATACCTGAACAGTTATCTGAAAACTTAGCGATAAACGTTTGATCGATCAGATGATCGATCAACATACTTAACCCAATTAATCTAACTTTGTTATCATCAAAACTGTAATCCTAATAGATAAGTATTATAAGGAGGATATGAACGAAAAATCAGAAAATAGTTAAGTGTTTTGTACCATTAGAAGCATGACGTCAATGAGTCTTTTAGGCCATAAAATAAAATATCCTTTTGCTTGACCTAGTTTAGCTGTCACACCTCTCTTTATAACCCAATATATATCAATTGGAACCATTATATCGTGTTTTGCAGTGTTTTCGGATGAAAAATTTCAACTTCAAACTTTTGCCTTTAATTCTGTCCGCATATTGTTCATTCGAAAATGGGCCAATTTTGAAAATTCATAACTAATTCTAGAAAAATTGAAATGAGGTGGTTCTAATTTTCACATGAAGCTTACTAAGAGTTCTATGGAGGAAAAATATTCATTAGACTTAATTCCATCCAGAAAAATACCAGAAAATTTGACAATATGCACTATTTATTTGGTCAATTTTCCAATTTCTAGTATTTTTGCCCAATTTTGGAAGGACATAAATCTTAGGACAAAACTCCAAATTTCATAGTTTACTACTTGATTTAAAGATAAAACTGAGATCTATAAGCCTGTAAAATTTCATACCCAAATTCTAACAATTGCTTATTATTTCATGTGCCATAAAATTAGCACTATTTAGGAAGATTTTATCCCCTAATGCCACTTTCTTTAATTTATCTCCTATTTTTCTTTTTCCTACACTCTTTCAACATTGCACCATTCAGAATTTTAGCATTTGAACGTGTCATACAAACATAATTTACATCATATTATTGTCTATAATCCATTACAAACTTGGCATAAAGTTGGATAATACATCACATAATATTCTAAAACAGTATGACATTCACAAAGCTCTTCTATCCCAACACCATTTCCT